TAACTGTTTAATCAATTTTCAACGGCATAGATTCTTTGATTTGATGAATTAAGAGGAATAGATCTGGAGATGATCATTTCTCAAGTCCACAGCTATCCATCTTTTTCTAAATAAAAAAATCTCAATAAACGACAAGATCAGGGTCTCTCCATCTTATTCTCACACATCAGGCCGCTGTCCTCCCTCCTTTTCTAGGGAACCAAACAAACAGCCAAACACAATCCTCCCACAGCTTGTATTCTTCTACGCGTCCCGTCCCTCTACATATCATCAACAAGTTTCATACTTTTTGCCACCATTAAATCCTCCATGTCAACTCCCACCATACCCACCTCTCTCTCTCCTCTATTCTCCTAGCTTTCTCTCTCTTTCTCTCTCTAGGATTGCTGTCTTCTGTTTGACTATGGGTGCGGGTTTCTCTTCTGTCTTCAAATCGGAAAACCCAGTTACAGTCGGATCTTTGCCATCGAAACCCGGTCTCGGCGATTTGCCGGAGAGCTGCGCGGCGATGATTCTGGGGTATTTGGACCCGCCGGAGATTTGTAAATTGGCGAAGCTGAATCGGGCGTTTCGCGGCGCTTCTTGGGCTGATTTCATTTGGGAATCGAAATTGCCGTCGAATTATCAAACTATTGTGGGCAAAGTGTTCGGCGATGGATTGGAAAATCTGGGTAAGAGAGATGTTTATACGAGGCTTTGTCAGCCCAACTCTTTCGATGATGGAACCAAGGTGGGTCATCTTTCGTTTTGTTTTCTGGGTTTTGTTTCTTGTTTTCTGTTTGGGTGCCGAGAAAGCTTGGGAAAATTGGGAAAGTTAGATTCTTTGAATTATGTTGTATCATTGTCGTGTGGGTTTGATTGGTTTCTCTGTTTTCTCATAAATCGAATTCGTTTTCGGTTTTTGTTTAGCAGAAATCGTATTGAAAGATGAAAATTTATTGTTCAAAGTCTAGATATTTTCTAGTGCCAGGACTAGAAATTCAACAAGTTTGACTTTCCTTAAGAATTAGTATTTTCCATCTTTTAATTTATTAATTTGTTTCTTTGTTCCCTTGTTTTGATTTAGTGCGGTGTTTGATAAATTTTGTGTTGTGGGTGTAGACAATTTGGCTGGATAAAAGTACAGGATCAGTTTGCTTGTCGATTTCTTCCAAGGGATTAGCAATTACCGGCATTGATGATCGAAGATATTGGAATCATATTCCAACTGTAGAATCTAGGTAAGAACAATGGCATTTTTTCTTTTTTAGTCATTGGATTCTGGAGAAATGTGAAGATTTGTATGTTGCGGATTGATGGTACTTTATGGCTTTTCCCAAATATTTTTGCAATTTTAAATTATTAATGCACGATTTTGGGGTTGGAAGGTTGTGGCTGTGATTGTCCGTGGCTTGGTAATGGCTTTTGAAGTTTTTCAGGTCAAGCATGCCAAAACAGAAAAAAACATTGTGGCAATCTCGTTTTTTTCGAGATGTTTGCAATCGATCTAGTGATCAATGTTTTCTTCAATATGATTGCGATCGATCTAATGATCAATGTTAACTGTTTGGTTAAACATGATCTGTTATCTCATCATCTGCATAGAAGTATTTCCTTTCTGTTTTTGAAAGGATAGGAGGGAGGAGTCTATAAATATGTAAGTTTATTTGGTCACCGAAAATAACGAGAATGGGCTAATATCGTATTTGAGGATGATGTGCCCGGTCCCTTGAGACTACGAAGTATTTGTAGTACATAGTTTCTTCTTGAAGTTGATGTTATTTAAGCTTGTCAGAAGTTATGAAGCATCTGATATTGAAATGGCTCGATTTAAAAATAAAAAGCTCCCTGTATTAAGAAAAAGTTGAGATTTTTCCGTGATTTGAGCGTATTTGAATTGCTAACAGGCCATTTTATGAACTTGTTTGTACTGTTGCATTTATGGCTGCGTTCCTGCTAGTGGATTCCGTCCTACAAACTGTGTCTAAAATCAGTTACAAAATGAAACCCAAAGCATATAGAGTACGAGATTGGTGTGTATTTTTATGTTTATTCATATGATGGTTCTCATTTGAGCTTTGTGACTAATACAATGCATCTTAATGTGATCGTGTGAAATAAATCGAAGGGTTGTGTATTGCTTACCTTTGAACTACAAGTATTTGTCGAATTAATTCGTAATTTTTCTTTGCTGGAACACAGATTTTGCTCAGTTGCATATCTTCAGCAAATATGGTGGTTTGAAGTTGATGGGGAGGTTGAGTTTCCATTTCCTGTCGGGACATACAGCCTATTCTTCAGGTTGCAGCTGGGACGGTCTTCTCAGAAAAGGTTTGGTCGCCGAGTTTGCAATATTGAGCATGTCCACGGTTGGGACATAAAACCCGTGAGGTTCCAACTATGGACTTCAGAAGGTCGTTATGCCTCGTCTCAGTGCTTTTTAACGGAACCTGGAAAATGGAATTACTACCTTGTTGGGGACTTTGTTGTGGAGAACCCGAATGCATCAACGAAGCTTAAACTCTCCATGACCCAGATCGATTGCACCCATACCAAAGGCGGTCTCTGTTTAGACTCTGTACTTATATACCCTAGTGAATTTAGAGAGAGGCTAAAGCATTTTTAGTTTGCGCTTAAGCTTTTTATCGGTAGGAAGCTCTGTATCATAGCGGTAGATGGTGTCGAAAAGAAATCGAAATTAGGTAGTGAATGTGTCCTTTTGGAGTGTCCTGTGTATTTAAGCAAAGAAGGGTGTAAATTCGTTTTTGATTCGTTTAATTAGTGACAGTGGATTAAGATTTTGCAAGTCCGTCGGTCTTCATGGTTGACGGTTTCTGCTTCGTTATGGGATTTTGAGAAATTAATCATAATATTTACAGTTTGAGAATTGATTGAATATCGTGGTTCCCCTAATGCGTGTAGATTGAATTAGATTTTGAAACACAACCTATTATTTTCTTTATTATTTGCTTTCGCTAACGGTTGCAACTTTCAGCTCCACACCAATGCGCAAGAGAGACGGATGGGGGTTTGAATTAGAGTTACCGAAAATAGAATTGGGTTTATTTAGCAGGCAAGTAGAAGGCAAAGAACCGTAATCTCTCTACGACCAACGACAATGTTTGGGTTCGTCAACTCAAGGCTTGGTCACGATCTCTGGAAATATGCCAATGGTTCTCTCTCCCCCGCCCACCGTCGCCTACCCCTGTCCCAAACACACAGAAATTGATCCTCTCTCTCCTCTTAAAGTCGCTTGTCCTGAGTACCTGTGTTTGTACCAACAGGATCAACTGATGATTAGTAATCTCATGAGTACGATCTCTGAATCTTTACTTCATATCACTATTGCTTGTGATACCTCCCATGCTTTATGGGATTGTCTCCAATAGGTCTCACACGCTTTTCATCTCTTCACACCCATCACTTTCTTCATGGCGGCCCTCAACGGGGCGATCCTAGGGATTATGGTCAGGATCCTTGGTTTTTTGCTCAAAAGTTTGCGCCCTCTTCTCCCGAGCGTCTTATTCTGCTCGAATCCTTCTTCGGTTCATTACCTCGCGAGCATCCTAACCTCCACTTCCGACGTCCAGGGGATGTTAGGGAGGGTTTGCTGGTGTCAGACCACTATCATGATGCTCGGCACATTACATACTTCGGTTAGCTTGGTAAAAAAATGCAACCAAATTGTATGCATTTGTCAGAGATGGCGCCAATCTGTTCATGCTTAAAATTAGGAGGTCAACAAAGACCCATATGATGGGCCTTTGGTGAGCTTCGATACAGACTATAAGAATTTGACATCAAGGTTTAAATGGTTTAGCCTTAAAATTGGGTTACTCCCAGTGTAGTGCTCTGTGTATGTACTGAATATAGATTACAAGATGCGTTCGGTTATAGTGTAACCTTTTATTTTCTCTTATGTGTCCGACCGTCTATAAGATGTACTCGTCTCCCTTATATAGGTCTCCAATGAGCCCAAAGGTCCTAGGTTCTCAAGGACTCCCACTGCTCTAGCACTAAATGATCTTAACATGTAAGCTTAACTTGTTGATGACTCCTCTATTTAGTCAACACATAGAGATGAAGTGATAGTTGCTCAGAACTAGTTGAAAGGTTTTTTGGGTCAACACGTATCGAGCGCTCCGTTCGATCTTAAGTAACTGAGGAAATGCCTACCCAAGCGCTTTGTCTAACGACCTTTATGTCTTTTTATAGGTTTTTGTTTTCACTGACGCCCAACAAGTGGCTTGGAGTTGACATCCAAGTATGTTTGTTTATGGGGCCTCGTGCTATAAAGTTGTCAGTTTACCCACTTGCCTCAAGTGGTCGGAAAGTACTTTATGAGAAGGTGATTGACCTCCTTGTCGATAGTCAAACCAGACAGTGGAGCGATCGTCTATAGTGCTCAGAGTTGCTTCCCTTAGTTCTATTAGGCCAACTTTTTAGCCAAATGCCTTTGTTGTCTTCTTCTTCTCTGAATCTTCTTTGGGCTTTTGCTGGACATTCTCTAGGCCTGTATTATTTTAGGGGCGTACAAGAACTCCGAGTTAACAACCTAATCATCATGAAGCACTTCAAAATAATAGTTAACAAAAATTTTGTTGAACTTGTGACGCAAGTCCAACAAAAACGCTTATAGACATCGGTATTTCCTATATAATCATTCTCCAACTAGCCCAAGATCTTAACGTTCATGAAAATAAACTACAAACAAACTATAAAACTAAATCACACCCTCAACAAACTAGAATTCTTAATGTTATTTGTACTCTTTTGAATTCTAAAATTTTCTTCCCGAACACCCAACAACTTGAGTTAGCATCATACTCGAACCAAGACTTCTCTAACAAGAAAACCCTAACAAGTACCCGATTCGATATGGGCCCCACCAAAAGATAATCCATTACTTGGTCATGGTTATTCGTTTTCCATTAGAGTCGGGCAATGACTTATGGTGCTTTGACTCCTATGGAAACGAAGGGTTAGAAAGTGTTACGCCTTTTGCGGTTTTAGCCTGCAAATTACTTCTCCAAAAGCACTTTGGCATCTAAGCTCTTTCGATTTCAAAATTTAGATCAATTATGACAAAGATTACTGTCACAATCGTCACTAATAAGCAGCGCCAATAATGTTTCAGTCATACCGTTTTATACCAAATATATGATTACAATTGACTAGAAGATTAAACGCGACTGCATAATTATCCTTCATAAGCCATGCTCTAACAGATGCGTAATGTATACCTTTTTCCTTTCCTCGGACATGGTAAAGAACACTCTCAGCAGGTCATGATTAGTGGCCAGTATATTTATCGCTCTAAAGACTTGCAATCCGGTAAGGCCTTCAATTTTGCTCAACTCACCGTCAAGTTTAGCTTGCAATTCAGCCACTTGTTTATCAGTTGAAAGAACTTTAATCAGAGCATCAATCTTAGACGTCATCGCTTGTACCGAAGCTGCCATACTCCCAAAATTCTTTGTCACCTCCTCCATTACCTTTGCTTTCACCCTGCGACCGGGATCTGAAACACTTGGGGTACTTTGTGCAGGCCTTCGTTGTTGGGTACTAAATGATACATCAAACTGTTCCATCCCTTCAGACTCTGATTCTATATTCGTATCCGCATTCAGAATCACATTTTCACCCAAATCATCGTCCCCGCCATGAGTTTGATCAATGTTTGCATCCTCTTGCCTAATGTCCTCTTCATCATCATCATCATTGCCAACATTTGTACCAGTATGACGACCTTTTTCATATATCTCCCGCAAAACATGGTAGAATGGAAATGGCTTGCTATACAGTCCACTTGCATCCCTTCTTTTCTACAATTACAGAATATTACAGAAACTATAATCCATAGTCGACGGGAAAATATAAGAAAAAATGAATAAGGATATCTGCAGACTTACCTTCACCCATTCATCATATACACTTCTATTGCAAACCAACATCATTTGTTTATCATCCCAACTAAATCCACCTTGAGATAACATCTCGGTTAAGGCACAATACTTTTTCTTCAATGTCTTAACTCGTGATTCAATGTGAGGAGACGCTTGTATTCCACAACCCGGCAGTTTAGCTTCCAGCATTGCCTCTATATGGGTTAAGTATCCATTTTTGAAACCATTATCAGCTCGCCACTTGGTGTTGCGATATAATTCTTGCAATGATTCAACTAATGCAGAATCTTCTTTGGTTGTCCAGAAACGTTTGTTTTGACCCCTTCCTCGTTTTCTTATAGCTGAATTAGAAGTCATCCTAATAAAATAACAACATAAAAAAAAACATGTGACACAACTACAAACACAGCATAACAATAATTGCATAGCGTAAAAATGATAATTGCGTAATTTAAAATAATTAAAAAAAGGAATGACTTAGAACGGTAATGACTGTGACTTAGAACGGTAAGATGAACGGTAATGACACGACAAAGATGAATAGAGTTAAATTGTAAGTGAACTAATATTTTTTACAATAAAGATATAAGGGATATACATTGCACAGATATACATGATGCATAAAGTCTCACATGTTTCCGAAACAAAAACACTAACAATCCAAGATATACGATCAATTAGCTCTTCAACCGCTAATGGATTGCTGGATATCCTTACTTCCCTTCGTAGTTCATGTCATATCTGGACACAACTCAGGAAAAATAAATATAAATACAAAGACAGAAGAAGATAAAGGCATGTGTCCAAAGCTGGTACAAGAAATTACCTTTCTTTTAGCAGGAAGCTCATTCCAAAACATAAATTTTGATATCCACCTAAGTCTGTTACGCAGGACGTGTACTCAGTGAATATGCTTTTGAAAAAAGATCAACAAGTGTACATTAATTCCTAAATTCCCATGAATTTGATATGCTAATTTACTGAAAGGATTTGACAAAAAAAGACTTTTGGATTAGCAAATGAGAAACTTAGTTATCCAAAATTAGCAAATAAATCAGAACAAAAGAAAACAAAGACCAAAATTTTTTGATACACAGAGTACAAATGGACGGAGAGAGAGAGCTAAAAAACGAATGATACACATACAGATCTCAATATGGATAAAATACCAGCTGAATTTTATAAGAAAGAATTCAGACCACAATACGATAGTTGATAATTAAACCAACAGCATAATGTTTTGGTTGAGATTCTCAGCACGCATTTCATTTACATATAAGTACCTGCCATAACAATTGAGAATATTAAGCCCTTTACGATAAACAAACTACCAAGAATCTTGCTCTATTTACGTATGAAGGTGCATTATACTAACTTATCAGGAAAACTTCTCAGCGTAAAAAAAACATCGCATACACAAAGATAGATGCCTCCAGTCAGCTGTCTGCTCATGGTCTAAACAAATATTGTTTTCTTCATTATAATAAAACCATATTCTTTTGTAAAAACTACCGAAAACACACCAAAAAGAAAAAAAATATGGAAAGAAAAACAAATCTTGTAGGCTAACATCTATGCTCATATGTTGATACCTCTATCTGTCTATCATAATTTCGACCATCATATATTGCCAAAGAAATAAGTAAACTGGAAAGCGGAAACAAACTAGCTCCTAATCCATCATAACCATAGATGGAGTTAGCAATTGCCCTGATGGGGCAGCTGCCCCCACTCAACTTGTAAGAAAAAGAAACAGAAAAACCTTTGTATTCATGATTATCGTGAAGAATACATTAGTTCCACATAAACCTTCATTCTCTAAACTCAATAAACCAATATTTCATCCTCATCCTACTCTCACCTAGTTAATTGCATAGTTCTATGGCTGTAGTGACCCAAGATACTTATCGTTGTATAAGAATATGATCAATGAGATTAACAATTAGGCTCTGCCCTTGCCGCTGGATCAACGCTAACAGATGCTAGAACCGGCAAGGAAAGAGATTTCTATCCTATACAAATTCTCTTCCTTTTAGCTCCCGCTTTACCTCTCTAACAAATATCATCCACCCAAATCTAAATCTTTGTAACAATAACATTGTGACACATCATTATTCGATCATTTATAACATTTTTTTTTTTTTGGATAATAAGTTCATTTTGTTTTCAGAAGTTGGCCTCAGTAAATAAAATTTCTAGCCCCGTCCCTGCTCATATAATTCTTATATGTCGTGCTTAACATGGAAGCAGATTTGATTCTGGCAGCTTCAGAACAAAAACATAAAAACACTAAACTAACCAGTTTGCGGTTATTCATTCCATGGTAAAATATTCACATCATCTAATTCTCTTCTCATAAAAAAATTTAGGAACCCCATCAAACACAAAAAGGGTATAAAAAACAAGGTTGAATCCTAAATTCCTAATTAAATTAACAGACAAATATATACATATATATATGTATGTGTGTGTGTGTGTGTGTGTGTGTGTGTTTGTTGATCACAGAGCAGAACAAACTTCATTCATTCAATACCAAGGGTTCAATTTTTTTGGAATCTTGCAACCAATCTCCATTGGCCTTCACAAAATTTTACCCACAGATTCAGCTATATCAACTATACTACGAAATTCCATAACAATATATTAAAAAAAATTAAATTATAAACTACAGTTGTACTGGAAAAAGAAAAGAAAACCCAACAAAAAAAAAAGAACTCAAAATGTAAGTTCGAATTGGTGGGTTCTCTGGATTACTTACATTTTGGGAAGAAGAAGAAGAAGAAGAAGAAGAAGAAGATTCGGGTCGTTGGCGCTCGATTTTGATTGGTGTCGCCAATCGCGCAGTGGAGGATTTTCTTCAGTGTTGTGGACTCGGGAATGTTCCTTTCGAATATCGAAACCGCATATGTAGACATCGAACTAGAAGAAGAGCCCTTTGTTGGGCGTATTGGGTTGGTTTCGTTGGGCGTATTTTCCGTGGGAATAGTATCCGTGTCATGTGTTAAAGGTTGAAGTGTCGATTTAATCTCTGAACTATCATTTCAGTGAAAATTACGTTTTTGAATTATTTTTTTGGTAAAATAAGTCCCTAAACTCATTAAAAATTGCTATTTTCATCTCTAATATTATATTCAAAGCTATTTTATCCAATTTTTCGTCAACTTAAGTCACTTTTTAGAGTGTAATCCTATCATCTTCTCACCTATAAGCCCTTAACATTTCGTATAGGTTGCGAATCTAACGTCTAATTTACCTCCAAAGTTAACTTACACTATTTCTTATGAAAAACTACCAATTTACCCTCCAAAGTTAACTTCATACACTAATACTTTATGGAAAAACTACCAATTTACCTTCCAATGTGTATCACATGCCAGTAATGCGTCACGCCTTGAACCAGGGTTTGAGGCGTGACAGGATGGTATCATAGCATAGGTATTAGACACCCTTGGATAAAAACTGTGGGAGAAGATTAGCATGAGCCAAATAAGTTTGAATTTAGAAGAATCTATGCGATGGGTTTGGAAGTAAGGGTTTTGGTTGGCCTATAGTGATATGTAGAGTGTGCAAATAGGCTTAAATGTGAAGTCAATTTTTGCACATGATCTTGACAATTGAATTCATATGTGGATCTTTTGAGAAAGGAAATTAAGTTTGATCCAAAAACGAAAAGGATGAAAGTTAAGCAATGCATGCATATAACTTTAAGATGAATTTCTCAGGTGAAATGGGTTTAGGAGTAACTAAAGGACGAGAGGACTTGAAAGGTGGACTTAAGTAAGAGGATTGTGGTAAGAAGTAAGAAATAAACTGAGTACGTAGTTGTAATGTTTTTGCCATTCAAAGATAGATAGGACATCTATCATTTTTTATGTTTTTTTAGGTTTGGTCACTGTAATGAAAAAAAAATTGGAGAAGTCAGTATGTACTCAACTCATTTGACTTTTAAATGTGAAGGAAACAGGAAGTTTTTCAAGTAAATTCTAGAAAATGAATTTCTTGAGAAAATTTTTAAGTTAGTTGAGGGATTAGAACTGATCTTAGAGTTAAGAATTGAATGAGACGAGAATTTGATGCGACATAGAGTTTTGTAATTTCTGGTGTTGTTTTGATCCTGAGTAGTGGACAAATAAGAAGGATTTTATGCAAAAGGATTTTATAATAAGCTAGTTACGTGCAATGTTGGAATGAGTATATTAGAGATTAAGATGCTACGAACACTTAGATTTTGTTACTCATATATTTTGATGTAAGAGCAAGTATGTACAAAGGAAATTTAGGCTTGAATAGGTCTATGAATTACTTGTGGGATAGATATGAAGCTAGAAGTCACAATTTGTTGATGGATTATATATGCAGTGAGTAACCTGTGAACAAATTGCCAGATTTATTCCTAAAATGATACAAAGAATCAAGGTTGGTTCGATATAAGATACCGAACTGGAAACCATACCCCAATTCCTCTGAAATTTTCCGGAATCCCAATTTCAAGACTGATCCCAAACCAAATTTTAGGGAATCCCAAATTTCAGGAATCCCGAAATAGTTTTCGGATTTCGGGACGGGAATTGTTATTGGCAGTCCAAAATTTTCATTCTACACTCCAAACTTTCTATATTTAGAAAGAAAAATACACTTTGTGAGAAGTGTAAAATGAGATTTTTAAAGTGCTAATAACACTTCCCTTTTGGGACAAATTGGGATTAAATTTTAATTTTGGGCTTTTGGTCTATTGGGCTGAAACTTGACATATTGGATTGTTAGGCTAAAATTCAGCCTTTTATATTGAAATTATCAGCCCACTACAATCTATTTTGAGCCACCAATACAATCTATTTTGAGCCTTTAACTTCATACATACCAATATGTGCAATCATAGATTTATAGCCTAATTGAAATAAGAAATTATGAATTGTTCTTCAAATATATTCTACTACACATGAATGCAACAAAAATAAATTAAGTAACAAATCCAAAAGCAAAATTAGTTACAAGCCAAAGTTTCAAAATAAATAAGTAACAAACCCAAAAGCAAAAAAAATAGTTACAAGCCAAAGTTTCAAAATAAATTAAGTAACAAACCCAAAAACAAAAAAATTAGTTACAAGCCAAATTTTCAAAATAAATTAAGTCACAAACCAAAAGCAAAAACAAAAGCTTAAAGTTTATGAAGATTGTTGGCCTCTTCGGCCCCTTGATCTTGTTGATGATGTTGGTTGCTCCCTTCTTGTTGGTACTCTTCCCCTTGATGTTGATGATTGAGCCCTTCCCCTTAAAATGGGTGCTCGTGGAGGTAGTGATTGATTTTGACGTTGTTGAACTTCAAAGTTGAGGTGGTCGAGGAGGTGGATGTGACATTTCATTTCCTTGTGTTGTATGCTTCTCACCTCCCAAACTAGCCGTGCCTAAAATAATAAACCACAAATAATTTAGATTGAATTATAGAAATAGATAATAAATACCAAGAAAATAAAAATTAAATTATTTACTTACTTTTTTTAAAGTGTTCAAGTTCCTTGTAGAAATTGAATTCGTCAAGTGTAAGCTCCTTGTAGAAACAAAATTCATTTCCTCGAAGCCAATCACTAGAACACACCAAAGCCTCAACCGTTTTAGGTGTTAAGGAAGCTCTAAAAGGACTAAAGGCATTCTCACTAGCAACGGTGCTACTAGGAAGGGCCAATACATCCTTAGCAACTTTACTAAGAGTTGGATATGTACCCCTATTTCCTTTCCACCAATCCAAAATATTGAAACCCTCATATGTTAAGTTTTGATGTGGATCATTAAAGTACATATCCACTTCATTGGCTATCTTATTTTGTTGTGCCACCGCTCTTTTTTGTTGGATCTTCCTTGTTATCCTTTTAGCAACATCAATATTTACCACACCCCTCCCCCCATCATCTAGTACAACACTTGATATTTGCTCCACATTTAAAGTATCACTACTACTAGTACTAGTACTAGTACTACTACCACACCCTTCCTTATATGCATTATACAACTCAGTTGCATAGCTTTTAACCCTTACTTTCTCCTCCCTTATTTTGTCCCATCCATAGCCAAGCTCTTCCAAATTTGTCTCCAACATTTTAAATGTGTACCTTGGATCAAGTGCTTGGGCTACAAAGATAATAGGGTTCACCTTTTTAATGTCACTGCAATATTTGTCAAACTTGAGCTTCATTGAGGTAACCACACTTTGCAAAGTAGCATTAGAGGTGTTTAAAATTTGTTCTTCTATCTCCACTTGCAAAGCAATCACCGTGCTAAGTATTAAGTGTGACGTTGGAGTAAGGGTTGCACTCAATGCCAAGATGGAATCATAAAACATTTTTAGAAAGTGAGCAAAACTCACTAACCTCTCCTAATTATCCACCTCCGGAGGACCCACCCGCTTGGCCTTTGTTGTCACCCCATCCTCTTTCGAGACCTCCTCTTTAAAGTAAGCAATAAAAGAGTCACACTCAAAGGCCATCTTAGAGAACACTTCTTTAAACTTGAAAGCACTATTAAGCATTTCATAGGTGGCATTCCACCTTGTGAAAACATCAAAAGGGATACTTGACATCCTATTAAGTCTCAACAAGACACAATATTCCCTAAAAGACTCCAACCTTGCCGGGAATGAGTATATCAACTTCACACAATTTCTTATAGCATCAATCCCACAACTAAGCTCCGCCATTCCACCCTTAACTATCAAATTAAGGATTTGACAAGCATGTGCAAGTGAGCCCTGTCGAGTAAAAGAGTACCATTTGACTTAAGTCTTCTTTTCATGTATGCAATAGTGGTGTCATTTGCACTAACATTGTCAACGGTAATGCTAAACACCTTGTCTATGCCCTAATCATTCAAGCAACCCTCTAGACATGTTCTAATATCATCACCTTTGTGAAAGTAACTGGGACAAAGTTTAGGATCCTTTTATGCAATGCCCAATTAGTGTCCAAAAAATGGGCCGTGATAACCATGTAGTTTATCTTTTGAATCGAGGTCCAAGTATCAGTTGTGATACTCACTCTCAACCCCTCAAGCACACTTTTTATTTTTGCCTTCTCTTCGAAAAACAACTCCAAAACCACTACCGCCACCTTATACCTATTAGGAAGCTTGTACTTTGGATTCAAGTCACGAATAAAAGCTTGAAAGTCCTCTTGATCGACCACCCTAAAAGGTATCTCCACTATTATAATCCATCTCACACATCTCCTATCAAGTCTTTTTATTGAAAGTGTGAGTGACAATTGCACCTCTTATCTTGCTTGTGTCAATGTTGGTTGATTCGGATCCACTCTCAAAGAGACTAGAACCCGGGCATTTCTTCAAATGCTTAAGAATTCTCTCACTCCTTCTTTTGAGGAGGACCTTCCATTCTCTCACTACTTCTTCTACCATTGAACAAAAAAGAGAATCAAAATTTCAAATATGAATTGGACAAGCATGACAGGCAATTCTATGTGACGACAACTTGACATTGCTTAACCACAGTACAACAAACTTTCAAATACGCATAATTAGAACAGATCAGGGAAGAAAAGGACATTCAAAATCTATTGCAACTCCCTAAACCTTCTCAAAGCAACGCAAAAGAGATACCTTTTCAACAAGCTTTGCCTGCATTCAAAGAATGAGGTAATAGATGGTGACGTCACTTTTGTCAGGTAACATGTCTTTCTAGTTTCTAATAACAAAAGCATCAACCCAAAGCAACATCAAACCTGAATTCCTTTAAATTCAGTGGTATTATAAACTATCTTGGCACAACCAAGATCAAGCCAATATTTCAATTCTCGGTTTATGCAACAAATGAAGGATAACTTATCCAACCTAGTCACTATGTAACTGAACACTATAAAATTCACCGAAACATATGAATTTCTATACCCACATAATA